GCTGTGTGACCTGTGCAAGCCAGCTCACCTCTCTGAGCCTCCCAGATGATAGCAGAAGATTGTAACAGAAACTACCTCACAGGGTTGTTGTAAGTGATGGGAGCTCTGGCGTGGTGGTGGTATCTGGCAAATACTCCACAAACATCTATCATTATTATTATTATTACTGCTAATGTTGCAATAAGCAGAAAGCAAGGGAGGAATGGGATAGCCAGGGTAAGAAGTCCAGGTGATCATTGTGCAGTTCTGAGTGAGCGCCAGGGCTCACACAGGACAAGAAAACACAGACTGCTTGTAACTGCATTGGTCAGCTATAACCACAGTACGGCTGCGGCTGCGTAACAAACACCCACCACACCCCAGCGACGTGCAGGGAGAGGCGTGACCTGATTGTGGCTGAGCTGGGCTCTTCGCTGAGGTTTGGGCTCGGCGCCATCCTGGGCCAGGCTGAGGGGGCCAGTGGCTACCTTGGGGATGCTCTCCTCCCCGCCACAGCAGAAACACACAAGGTTTCCCGAGCCCCAGCCTGGGAGTGAGCATGCTGTCACTTCCTCCTGACCCTAATGGCCGAAGCTGGCCATGTGCCAACCCAAAGCAAAGGGCCAGGAACGTAAACCCTGCCTGTGCCTTGTGTGGGAAGAACGGCGAAGTTGCATGGCTGGGGGCATGGACCCAGGGAGAAAGGGGGAATTGGGGCCGTTGGTGTACGTACCTCAATAACCAGACACCAGCTGAAACCTGCAAAAGGGCTTCACACTGCCCTGCCCTCCCTGCCTCCCCAGCTTCCTCTTCAGGCCCTGCCTCACGAGTTCTTGGTCAAAATCTGGAAGAGACCCTTAGCAGAAACATGCGTAATCCTTGGGGACCCTATCCCCATCTTCCCAACATCCGGACCTGCTCCAGGGAGCCATTAATCTCGGGCAATTTCTTTCCTCACTTGATTTGTTTATTTAAGGAAAACAAGTTGTTCCTAATTAGAAACACTGCCGTCGAGATGCTCGGTGCATCCTAGGCCGCCGATGCGCAGACCTCCTGCCTGGAATTATACATGCGCTCCTAGCATCGGTGAGTGTGTGTTCAGCCACAGTCCAAAAGCGCAGGCTTCTGGTGACAGAGACCTGGGCTGCTGTCGGGGTCGAGGGAACCAGGGGCAGGGAATACTCGGGCTTCAGATCTAAGGCTCATAGGACAACGAACACACAAGACCCCAGCGTGCTGCTCAGGGCCGGCCCGGGTCGCTGCGCCAGCACCCAGCAGGTGCACAGCATGGGCGCAGCTCAGACCTGAAGAGCAGGCAGGAGAGCAGTTCTAAGGGTTCAGAAATGCTTCCTGTTTGGAACCTCTCAGATGTGTTTACATCACGAACACACACACTCACACACACACCTTTACATCCTTCGGGCACTCAGACCCACAGAGACGTGCATCTCAGAACACACAGGCATGAGACACGCACAAAAGTGACATGGCCCGACAGACCAGCAAATGCGCTCAGAAACACGCAATGTGCACCCAGAGACGAGCAGGAAAGAGCAGTCAACACCCCAGGCATGCGTGCTCGCTCGCTCACACACAGGCAAGGGCACCAGACTTACACTGTAACACCCCAAAGCACACATTTAGAGACACATACATATGAAGATGCACTCATGTGCGCACTGTAACCAACACACCTGGATACCAGCACTAGGAAACACACACAGACAGCCAAGCATGTAAGGCTACACACAGGCACACACACTCAGCAGCACACACGTACGCACCAGTGCACAAAAAGTTTACCCTGAATACACACATGCACACACACAGAAGCACATGTATGCACAGAGACGCAATGAAAAGCACCCTCTAATCCTCACAGATGCACATGCCTGGAAAATCACACCCGTCCACAGAGTCCCTCACAGCGGTCCCAGCACGACCCACAGACGCACACACATGCACGGAGACAGTCAAGCGCACAGCGCTATACACACAGAGGCACAGAGAGACACAAGCTCACACTCACACCATTATTGCACACACAGGTACACTCACAAATGCCCACACGGACCTGCGCAGACAGCGCTGACAGCTGGCGAAGCGTGTCCCAGGCAGACCCACACAGGTATACCACACAGCACATGCATGCAGCCATGTGGCCACACATCTGCCAGGTCACAGAGATACAGCCAACTCGCACACAAACAAGTGTGCTGTGCTCACAAGTGCATTCGCTTCTCCACGCTCGAACTGACTCACAGGCACGCGTTCTCTCGTGGGGCACGCACATGCACATGTATTCATAAATCCAAGGTACGTACTCTCACAGGTGCACACTCGTGTTGACACTGTTCTCACATGTGTGCACACACAGTTAAGGTTTTCTGTCCGTCATACTCACATGAGCACATATGGCTTAACCTGCATGAGAACGCACATGTTTACACACATGCCTACACACCGCCACATTCTACTCCGCCAGGAGAGCGAACTGTGCGTTTTCTCAGTCAAGTGCAGGGACTAAGCTAGCACACAGTGGAGCGGCTCCTGCCCCGACCCTCTGGCGCTCACTAACTCACCCCACGTCAGCAGAGGTGAAGCCTGCCCTCCCTGTGGCGGTGTTGGCATGGAGCCCAGAGAACCCAGGCTTGGGGAGGGACACAGGTGTCCCAAGCCTTAGAACTACTCAGAAAGCCGTAAGACTGACCAACATACTGCCTTCCCCCGCGATCTCAGCCACACCCTGTGTCCCCACCTACACACACATACACACGCAAGACGCTGTCCTGAGCGTGGCTGTTCCTGCCGGGAACAGCAGCCTCGCCAGTCAGCAGGCTGCCGGCGTGACACCCAGGCACGCTGAACTTCTCCCCGGGTCCCCACACAGCTGCCGAGTCGAAGCCATGCACACGGCTTACCTCCACTTCCTCCACCTCCTGTTGTCATGGTGACACAACAGCTGGATGCCTCCATTCCTCCCCAGATGGCCCTGGGCTCCCCACTAGGAGCTGCTGGTCCTGCTGTGCCTTTATGAGGCGGCAGTGAAGGGGCAGGGACTGCAGGTGCCAGGTGATTGCAGAGAACAAGGGCCCTGCCCCCCAGCCAGGGATCACCTGGTGCTCACGTGGGACAGGGGCAGCCTCCCCGGGGAAAACAGCAGCCAGATGTCCACGCACAAGACCTGCAAACAGACCGCCCTGCTGCTGTGTCTGCGGAGCTCCACTCCTGTCTCCACGGGACGCGCTAAGCGCTTTCGTGCACCATTGCAGTCCCCCCAACAGCCTTCTGAAGTCGCAACTGTGAGCTCCCCGTTGTACGGTGGAGGGAGCACAGTTTGGAGGGTGACGTGACTGGTCAAACTCAGATGTGTCTCAGTCCCAAGTCCCTTAAGCACAAAATGACATCAACTCCTGGGATTCTGAAAAATCTCATCTGTGATAATTGCTCAGGGTCATAGATGTCTGAACTGGGACCTCTGAGGATATGTGAAATCTCTTCCTTTTACTGAAGCAGCAACAGGGACCAGAGAGGTCTAGCGATTTTCCCAAAGTCACTCAGCAACCTAAAGGCAGACTTGAAACAGCACCTCCTGACTCAGGGATGGGGTTCCCCCAGGACATCAAGAACCTGCCTCTGACAGCCTGGAAGAATGCCCGGTCTCAGCAGCCCAGGGAAGCGACTCTAAGCGTGGCTCCAGGCCAGGCACCCCGGGAAGAGCCAGAGGTCCTCAGACCCCCACCTCATGCCTCCAACGCCACCCAAGAACCACACAGCAGTGCTGTTGCCCAGGGGCAGCCGCCCAGCCGAACAGGCAATCACAGGGCCAGGGGATATGTCCCACCTTTGGGCCGTGGCCAGACGCACCTCCACTTCCTGCCTCCCTGACCAGCCAGTCCGCCCAGATGACCCAGCCCTAGGCTGGACCTCCAGTGAGGAAGCACAATGCCTTCTGGAGGGCTGCGACCATGGGGGTGGTCCCCAAATGACCCCCGGGGACAAGGTGGGCCCTTCGAATCATGCTTTTCATTAGGAGGAAAAATAATCTGGCCAAACTCATGAGCTACGTGCCGGCCTCCGCCAGGCCTCTGGGGGCCTGGAGTGTGGGGGGCCCACCCACGCCCTCCAAGCTGGGGAGGCGAACACCAGGAGCCCCCATCCAACTGACCATTCCAGGTCCTTCTCTGCAGAAAGTTTGCGCCTCCCCAAGCTCCAACCTGAATGGTCTCATTGAGCAGCCCAGGAAACTTCCCCCAAATCTTGTGCTCATCCAAGGAGCTCCAAGGAACGGAAGGTGATCCCCGCCTCTGCTGGTGTCCCTGCCAAGGCGGCCGGCGAGTGTTCCCCTGCTATGACTCTCGGGGCTGCTGGGGGGCTGGGATGGAGGCGACCTGGCTGAGCGAGTCCCCCTGCCCCTCAGTTCTCTCTCCCTGTACACACACACACACACACACACACACACACACACACACGAGATGGACATGGGCAAGCCCGCAAAGCACTAGACACAAAGCCCATCACCTGGGCAGCCCTGGAAACCGCTTCCCGATGACAGGGAGCCTAGTCCACCCCAGTATCGCCCCCACCAAATCCCTTGCTAAGCCAACTTGAAAATAGGACCAGCTCCTTCTCGCTCGGAACTCTGAGCCGGCCAAGAAGGGAGTGATTCGTAAACCAGATTAGAACGGCTCCCTGCCTTCCCCCCGGCCCAGCTCAGCCTGAGAAGCGCTTGAGTGCCTGCCTCTGGGGAGCCAGCGGGATGCCCAGAGGAAGGATGCCTGGATGAGTCAGAATGTCCCACCCTGTGCCAGGGGAGAGAAAGTTTGTCATTTACCCAGAGCTGTGCTGTCATCCCTGTAGGTTCTCTACTCACCTGGCTCTGGACGCTGAACCCCCAGCCTGTGGAGAAGTGGCTAGAACTGAAAGCCCGGCTGGGGGCAGGAATCGGTTCGCAGCAGCGGCTCGGCGCCCCGCTCCCTTGGGGAAACCCTCTCACCCGGTTCAGCCCGCGCAGCCCTTACCTGAGAGGGTCTCAGCCACTTGCAAACTCCGCCCGCGGGGCCCCGCAGGCGCCCGGGGTCCCTCTCTGAGACTCCCGCGCCCCGCTCGCTTGGCGTGCGGCTCTGTGGGCGCCTTCCCGGCTGCCAGCCGCTGCAGTGGCATCAAGGAACGCGGGTCTGGGTTTCCTTCCTCTCCACCAAGGCTCCTCCACCAGCCGGGCCCGGGGGCTATTTCTCCGGCTGTGGTGCAAGGGGCATCCTCCGCGCCTCCAGAGGGAAAGTGGAAGTGTGCGTCCTGGATTGCAGCAGCGGCGACAGCGGTGGCCGGGGACGAGGAGGCGGTGGCGACGCCAGCCGGTGAGCTGGGGAGACGGGCGGAGGCGAGAGGAAGTGAAAGCCGGGCTCCCGCGAGCCTGGCGCTCGGGCGGGCGGGCGGCACTGCGGGGACCCCGCGCCACGGCGAGGCCCCCGCTCCACGGCGAGGCCCCGCACGCACCCCCGTCCCGGGGATGCCCGGGCCCGGGGCGCGGGCTGCGGCTGTACTGGAGCCCCGGCCGCCTCGCCTCTCGCTCGCTGCCCCTTCCCTGTCGCGTTTCTCGCTACCCTGGACTTAATGTCTCCAGCCCCAGCTCCCCGCGCCGCTGCCGCCGCCGCTGCCGCCAGCAGAGCCTCAGCCCAGCGCGCTCCTCACACGGAACCACAGCACTGCCTACCGCTTAACTCCTTGCGTGCCACCTGCCCTCCCGCAGCCTCCCGGGGAGCCGAGCGGACCCGGTGCCAGGCCTGCTGCGGCGCTCGGGCAAGGGCCTCGGCCTCCCAGCCTCAGTTTACTCTTCTGAAAAAACGGGCTGGAGAGGCCCCCGTCCTGGGAGCGTTTGGAGAATTAACTGAGACTATTACGCTAAGTGCCAAGCTGCCTGGCATCGAGTAAGCTCTCAATAAATGGCAGAGTTTCTGTTGCTGTTAGTGCTGCTGTTGTTCAAGAGGCTTAACAGGGCACCTCACAAGTGGTCAACCCCCAACAAAGGGCAGTTTGGGTTTTGGTATTTAGTTTGCTGTTTTCGTAGGCAGTAGGTTTAAGCTGTGTGGTCTCAGGCTGATCACTTACCCTCTCTGAGCTGGTTTCAGAAGACTCCTTCCAAGCTCTGTGACCTTGGGTAGGTCCAAGCACCCACTCTGAACCTCCAAATCTTCTTCTGTAAAGTGGAAACAATAAAGAATGAGAGAGAGAGCTAATCAGCGAAGGATCCACAGAGAATCCCTGGGAAAGGAACCCACCCTCTGATGTGGCACGTGACAAGAGCCACCATTGGCTGAGACCCCCTCGAGTGCCAGGCACCTAGTTACGTGGTTTTAAACATATTATCTTATTAAATCATCTAAATAACCGGGGAGGCAGCTAGTTCCATCTCCATTTCTCAGATGGGAGGACTGAGGCCCAGAGAGGTTAAGTGGCTCACCTTCGCTTGGTACACCTAGGAAGGAGCAGAGCTAGGACTTGAACCCTGGACTTTCACACTCCAAACCAGTATCTGTTAAGCTTGGGACTCAAGGAGAGGCTCTCAAGTGGCCGTGAGCAGACTATTCTTTGCTGGGACTAGCAACAAGAATTGGCATCTGCATGTATTTTATGAAAGCATATTGTTTTTCCAGCTAATTCTTCCCTAATGTAGGTAATTCAGGAAATGCTGAAAAGTATGAAGAAAAACTAATCTAATCTATTCCCACCATGCAGAGGTAATGGTTATTAACATCTTGATATATTTCCTTTCAATCTTTCTTTATACCTGCATGTAAAAGCTGTTGACCCAAAGGGAACCTCCCTAACAGCCCCCTAGGGATGAGAATTGGGCTCCTAATGAGGTGAAAGAGCCCCCTGGTTGGACACAAGCAGGTGAAGCTCCAGTGCTGGGCTGGTCCCTTGTGCCCCTGAGCCCATGCCTCAGCATCTACGGAGGGACAAACAGTGCCTTCCCTGCCTGCTTGGTAGGGTTGTTGGGAAAACGATAGATTGTACAACACCTTGAGTATGGCAAAAGCTGTGAAAATATAATGGTGATGTTATCATCATCACTATCATCATCATAAAAATATAAAAGAACAGAGAGTCATGGCATTTGGTGGTGGTTAAAAGTGGGAACTCTGAAGATAAGTTTGTTTTTCTCCGTACAGATGGCCAGTTGACCTACCACAATTTACTGAAAGACCTGTCTTTCTCTCTTTGCTCTGTGAGGCCACCTTTGTCGTAAAGCAAATGTCCCTGTGTGTGGAGGGGCCAGGTCAGGGCTCTCCATTCAGTTCCGCTGGTCAATTTGATTATCTTTGTGTTAATTTGGTCACCTTTAACACAGAGTCTCAATTACTGCAGTTTTATGAGTCTTGATGCCAGCCCTGGCTGGCATGGCTCAGTGGATTGAGTATTGGCCTGCAAGCCAAAGGGTCACTGGTTTGATTCCCAATCAGGGCACATGCTTGGATTGCAGACCAGGTCCCCAGTAGGGGGTGCATGAGAGACAACCATACACTGATGTTTTTCTCCCTTTCTTTTCCCCTCCCTTCCCCTCTCTCTAAAAATAAATAAATAATATCTTTTTAAAAAAATAATGTCTTGATAGAAGTAAAACATACCCTTCCTTTTTTTCTCCTGCAAGATTATCCCCGGCCTTTTGCATTTGCATCTATACATTTTAGAATCAGTGTATCAAGTCCTTCACACAATAACAGCAATAAAAGACCTATTAGGTTTGGGTTGGGATGGCAATGAGTCTACATGTCAATTTGCAGGCACTTGCTATCTTTCTAATACTGAGTTTTCCCTTCCCCCTACCTCACACCATGCACACAAACCAATCCTGGTTGGGTTGGACACCTAAATGTGAAAAGCAGAAGCTTATAGACAAGGCAATCTTTGTAACCTTGGGGTAAAAAAAATGATTTCCTGAACAAGGAAAAAGCACTATCCATAAAGAAACACACGGATATATTTCATTATATTAAAATCAGAAGACCCTGTTTTTATGAAAAGATACCAATAAAAAGGGAGTGAAAAGTCAAACCATAGTAGACAGATATTTTCAACATGCATCACTAAATAGGGGCTCCAATCCAGAATTTGCAAAGAATTTCTACAAATTGGTACGTAGAGAAAGGCAGAAAACCCAACCCAATGTCAAGAAGCTGGGACAGACATTTCACCAAAGAGGATATTCATAGAGTGAATAAAGTCACTCAAATGTGCTCAATCTAATTCTAAATCCAGGACATACCTATTAAAACTGTAAGGAGATACAACTACATTAAAATTGTGAAGACCGACAATCTCAAGTGCTGGTGAGAAGGTAGCACAACTGGAAAATGAATATGCTGCTGGCAGGAGTGTAAACTGGAACAAATGTCTTGGAAAACTGCGTGGCATTGCCGACTAAAGACACCCTCCCTCCAGCCAGCATTTCCACTCCTAGGTGCGCAGTCAACATAAACGAGTGCTTATGTATAACCTCAAGAGACAAGTACAAGAACGTTCACAGCAGCAATCTTTGTGGCTTAGTAGAGCAATTTTTCACAATCCCCAACCACTGAAGTTTGTGCCAGCAGTAGAATAGGCTCTGTGTGTGTGTGTGTGTGTGTGTGTGTGTGTGTGTGTGTGTGTGTGTTCATACAATGAATATTATATGGTAATGATAATGACCAATTCCAGCCACATACTACATGGGTGAATCTGAGAGGCATAACGTTGAGTGACAGAAACTAGACACCAAAGAGTACTCGCTGTATGTTTCCTTTTTCTTAATTATATTTTATTGATGATGCTATTACAGTTGACCTGATTTTTCCACCTTTGCCCCCCTCCACTAAGCACCTTCCACTCCCTGGGTCATGTCCATGGATCATATGTGCAAGTTCCTTGGCTATTCCATTTCTTATACTGTACCTCATAACCCCATGGCTACTCTGTAACTTGCCACTCCCTTGTAGCCTGCAAAGTTTCTTTTGAGAAATCAGCTGATAGTCTTATGGGAACTCCCCTGCAGGTAGCTAACTTCTTTTCTCCTGCTACTTTAACTTTTGGCATTTTAATTCTGATGTGTCTTGGAGTGGGCCTCTTTGTATCCATCTTGTTTGGGACTCTCTGTGCTTCCTGGACTTGCCTGTCTATTTCCTTCACCAAATTAGGGAAGTTTTCTTTCATTATCTTTTCAAATAGATTTCCAGTTTCTTGCCTTCTCTTCTCCTTCTGGCACCCCTATGATGCGAATGTTGGACTTCTTGAAGTTGTCCCAGAGGCTGCTTACACTATTCTCATTTTTTTTTAAATTCTTTTTTCTTCTTCTTGTTCTGGTTGGTTAGTTTTTGCTGTGCTTCCTTAAGATCCAAATCATTGATTTGATTCTTGGCTTCATCCACTCTATTGTTGTTTCCCTGTAAATTGTTCTTTATTTCAATTACTGAATCCTTCGTTTCTAACTGGGTCTTTTTTATGCTGCTAAGGTCCTCACTAAATTCCTTGAGCGTCCTTATAACTAGTGTTTTGAACTCTGCATCTGACAGATTGCTTATCTCCATTTCATTTAGCTCTTTTTCTACAGTTTTGACCTGTTCTTTCATTTGGGCCATGTTTCTTTGTCTCCTCATTTTGGCAGCCTACCTGAGTTTGTTTCTGTGTATTAGGTAGAGCTGCTTTGATTCTGTGTCTTGGTGGTGTGGCCTAATGTAGTAGATGTCCTGCAGGGTCCAATGGCACAGCCTCCCCTATCACCCAAGCTGGATATTCCAGGTACACCCTTTGTGTGGGCTGAGTACACTCTCCTTTTGTAGTTGAGCCATGGTTGCTGTTGGCAGACCAATGGGAAGGATTTGCCCAGACTAGTCAGCTACAAGGATTGGTTGTGACCACTGACCACCAACCCCTGCCCTCTGTGGAGGATCAGCTGTGCAGGGGCAGGGCAGTGGTGCTCTGACTTGGTCTGTAGCTGTCCACTGGGTACGCTGGCCCTGGGGTTTCCTGGGTGGTGCAGGCCAAGACCTGCCGTTACCTGTGTTTTGCCCGGGACCACCCTGCCTGAGCTATAAAGCCATCAGAGGTGGCTGCTGCTCGTGCTGGGCTTGGAGTTTCCCAGGTGAAGCCAAGCTGCAAATCTAGGCTGGCTGCTGCTAATACCAGGCCTGGGGCTCACTGAGGCCAGCTGTTGCTTATTTGAGAGGATTTAGGAAGTTGTGAAGCAAGAGCCAACACCAGCCATTCACATGGGAAAGGAGGTTGGGTGGGCCCATAACTTGGGTGGAGCAAAGTCTCTGAGGATCTCTAAGGTGGGTCAAACAGCGTCAGCTAAGCTGATGGACTCTCAGATATGGCACCAGCTTGCCGCTCTGTGGGGGAGGGTTTAGAAAAG